GTAAACAACATGAAAGCATGGATCCATCCTGCCTTGTATCAACGGTTCAGGCTGGTGGTGGTGTAATGGTGTGGGGGATATTTTCTTGGCACACTTTGGGCCCCTTAGTACCAACTGAGCATGGTTTAAACACCACAGCCTACCTGAGTATTGTTGCTGACCGTGTCCATCCCTTTATGACCACAGTGTACCCATCTTCTGATGGCTACTTCCAGCAGGATAACGCACCATGTCACAAAGCTCACATCATCTCAAACTGGTTTCTTGAACATGACAATGACTTCACTGTACTCCAATGGCCTCCACAGTCACCAGATCTCAATCCAATAGAGCACCTTTGGGATGTGGTGGAACGGGAGATTCACATCATGGACATGCAGCCAACAAATCTGCAGCAACTGTGTGATGTCATCATGTCAATATGGAGCAAAATCTCTGAGGAATGTTTCAGCACCTTGTTGAATCTATGCCACCAAGAATTAAGGCAAATCTAAAGGAAAAAGGGGTCCAAACTGGTACTAGCAAGGTGTACCTAATAAAGTGGACGCTGAGTGTATTTTGTAAAGCAGATTCTAACTATACACTAAAATAAAACATAGTTATAGCTGCTGCGCAGTGATGGGTTGGGTCCGGGCATTTTTAGGCAATTCCGAGCAACAAGCAGAAGAATTGGAAGACATTTAGGAATTTAGCAACACAATCTGCCTTTTGCATCAGCTGAGCCTTGAACTCACAACCTCTGAGACTAAGAATCAATTTCTATCTCGCTGAGCTAATTAGTCAGTGACAATTCATGTGTAGCTACACAAACTGACTAAGCCAGACGTGCAGGTTTAGCAGCCGTCCATGCATGGAAAGGGCAGTAGCTCAGTCCATAGGGAGTTGGGTTGGGAACCGGAGGGTCGCCTGTTCAAGTCCCCGTCTGGACCAAAATATGGATCGTGGACTGGTAGCTGGAGAGGTGCCAGTTCACCTCCTGGGCACTGCCGAGGTGCCCCTGAGCAAGGCACCGAACCCCCCAACCGCTCAGAGCGTCTGTCATGGGCAGCCACTCTTCACTCTGATGTATAGGTCATGTATAGGTCCTGTTTGTGCATGTGCGTGTCTTTCGGACCTGTGTGTAATTGACAAACAGAGTGAAAAATTGAATTTCCCCTCGGGGATTAATAAAATATATATATAAAAAAAAAGCAGATTTCAAACCACTGTAAAAAATTCAGTTATCGAAACAAAAATCTGAAAATACACATATTGCATCTAGACAGCATGGAGATGTTGGTAATTTGTTTGTAACAATGATTGATTTGCTCCATAAGTGAAAAACTGATGTTTAACTAGTTGAGCTATGTGCAAAGTGAGAAGCCTCAGATGGTTTCACACTGAAGTATTGACACTGGATCTTTGTGCAAAGTTTGGTTTATTTTCAAGCATGAGAAGGCAGAATTTCTAGCAGAATAAAGACTTGAAGATGCTGCACAGTGATCAGTCACGCTCGGGCAATTTTAAGCAATAAGCTGGAGCACAAGAAGATGACTACATTACAATGTGGATTCTGCACAAGTTGAGGCTTGAATCCGCAACCTCGTTTACAGTCAAACATTTTGATGCACTGTAGGCTCAATTTTTGATAAATCAAAAATCTGAGAAACATGGTTTTTGTAGGACAGTCTGAAGATGCTCTGTAGCAAGTTTGGTGTCAATTGAGCAAAAATTGTGGGAGGAGATAGGTTTAAGAAGTTTTACAGTTTTTGAAAAAAACAGAGTGATGAACGTCATCATTTTTAATAGGTTTGAGTGTACAAAAGTTTTTCAGTATTGGGGCTACAATTTGTTGAAAGTTATGAAGTTGTAGCACGTATGGTTGATTTGTTATGAATTTTTGTTATGAAGTTTTGAACTTTAGACGCTTGCTGTAGCGCCACCATCAGGACTATTGGCTTGAGTTTACAGCTGAGGATATCTGGCATGAGACTGGACCTTTGTGCAAAGTTTGGTGAGTTTTCACCCATGGGAAGTATGATTTCCTCGGAAGAAGAAAGAAGAAGATTTTGCTTTTTCATCACATTTAGCCTGGTAAGATTTTAACTTAGACGTCGAGACATATCTCCACATCAGTGATTACCAGGCCACTGATATAGTACAGGAGGATGTGAGGAGTGTGTTGCAATGCACACAGCCAAAAATACGAAGAAAAAAACAACACGTAGGGACTTAATATTATGTGCAGTTATTTTCTAACTTTCTCTTATTGATTATTGTCATCATGCCTTTTCTTTGATTTTTTTGTTTCAATTTTCATTTCATTTTGGTTTCACACCAGTAAAGCCAGTTGATCTGAAACCTGTCTGTTGTTTGCATGTATGTGTGAATTTAGAAGCCGAGAGGTAAAAAGTTGAAAACGTTCCCACGAGAACTTTCCTATCGAGTGTCTCTATTCAGGAAGCTGTGGCTTTGACTCAGTCTGCTCACATCTCCTCATCAGCACAATGCAGATCTCTCTATATATACTGTGTGTGTGTGTGTGTATGTAGCGCACACCATGTTTGACAGTCAGATGTCACCCCACGTGTCAGGTGGCCCAGAAGGAAACCCCACAGGAAGTACGGTCAGGCCCAGAGAGGTCAGGAAAAAGTCAAACCGCCTGCTTTCGTCGACAAATTTCGGCTCTCACTACACCCCGTCAACTGTCTGTCAACCACAGTCCACACCTAATGCTTTCAGTTTCCTTTAAAGGAAGACAGAAGTGGTGCTAACTGCAACAACTACGCAAAACAGTGTGACAAAACTGTGAAGTAAAACTCAGTTATCTGCCTGAATGATCAATGTGTATCTGAAGACCTGCTTAAAATGTGCTGTATCTTCCCAAGGTTTGCGTCAGTTGTCTGGTGGTTAAACAACAGTTCAGACAGTTCAAGTATTTGAAGCTATATCCAAATAATATACATTAGAAATATCAGTGATTAACAAAAACATACAGCAAGCCATTTTGCATTAGAAATATTCATATTTAATAAAAATCAGATCAATGAAAACAGATGATAAGAGTTCACAGACAGAGGTAGAGAGGATTGTTGTTTGCTGGAGGATGGTGGTCTTAGTCCCTGATCACACAGAAAATGTTTAAGCAGCTGGAGGCGCCGCTTTGTAATTGTTTTCAATGAGAATGAAGCTTTTTTGCTCGCTGTTTTTGTGCTGCGACGCACCTTGCGTTTCTGCACTCTACATGCCTGGCGTTTTTGCCGGAGCACTCTGAACTTCTCGAGGTGAAAAAACTTCAACTCAGAGTGGAAATGTCATCTCTTTTTGCATTATCTTTTTTCCCATTGTCCAATGAGATGATTTGAGAGGCAGGCCTTCTGTGGTGGTCACGACAACAAGTTGGTAAACAATGGAGGAGAAACTGGTGGTAGCGGTTGCTGGATGCCCAGAGCTATACGGCCTGATGTTAGACAGCAGGTTGTCAAACTGCCCCTGAGTCATCCTAAAATATGCGTGGAAACATCCATCATGGAGGAGAAGCTCCTGGACCAAATGGTGGTACTCCCCATGATCCACCCTCTTTTTTAGGGTCTCATGTACCCACACAGATCTCTGTTTCCCTGTGCCCAACAAACTATTTACTGACAGCCTCTCACCCTCAACCTGAGCTACAGCAAGTACCCTCTGCCTCAACATGTCAGGAGCTAGATACTGCTTACTGTGGGGAAAACAGTAGATTGATTACACAGGAAGGTTAGCTTAAGGACACGATGGGGTGGTTGCCTGGCAACAATAAAAAGGCACAGCAGGCTTTTTTAACACATTTTTTTTACTTGTGGCTTTCAGTGTTTAAAAAAAAAAGGATGTGCAATCCACTTTCTGTGTGATCGGGGCCTTTCTGACTCTTCTTCAGACTCAAGTTTCAGCTCAAACATCCGTGGACATGCTGGTCCAGAGAGAGCTTCAGGGACGGCTCCTCCACTCCACTGTAAGACACACATGAATACAGCATTGAAGCACTTTGAAGCCCTTTACCCGGACTTTAAAGGGTTTCGGTAGAATAATAACGCACGCATCATGTGGGTGCATGGCTATCAAAAAACAGTGTACATGAAGGAAAAAAGAAAGGCCTGCGCGCTTACCTCATGTCACAAGTGTTTAATCAAGTCATGTTTTGGTCCTGCTTTGATCTATGTCAGGTCGAAAGTGGTTTTTAAACTTTAAACTTAATTCAAAGGACGAAACTGGCTGATTTTTTATACATTGGTCCTTAAACACTTTTAACAAAACAAACTGACACATTCATCAAATTAATCAAATAGTTGCTCAAAATAAAACTAATTGCCAACTATTTTGAAAATCATTTTATCTTTTGAGTCACTTTAAAGTGGACCCAAACAACCTTTTCACCCCACAAGCATTTCAAGGTTGTTTTATTGTTGGTGCTGCTGACATGAAGACAACCTTCCTGTTTGCCTCAGAGCTGAGCAACTACCACAGTTTCCACTGTTACTTTGGTTCTTCCACCATCTGCCATTTCCACTACTGGGAATAGTATCTACAAAGAGCTGATATTGATCCTCTTTAGTAGCTGGGGAAAGCTACCTGTAGCTACTGGGAAAAACAAAAGCGCTATCCTCTTCCTGTTTTGGTTGTGCAATGGTTGCTACACTTCCTTTGAGCCATAAAGTCAGCCTCATTTTCCGTGAAGATCATACCATGCCCCAAGGAAGTGTGCCAAGCTTTGAAGCCAATGTTTGTAGTGGCCAAACATGGAATTAAGACTTCCAGGTCTGTCATGTAATGACATTGGGCCCAACGGACATTTCCTATGGTGAAAGAGATGTCTGTAAATCAATGGATAGATTTTATTTTGAGCATTACCGCCCTTATGAAATGACTCGTTTCACTATTGGATTGGATCCATTTGGTTCAATCTAGGGTTGGGTTGGTTCTCGGTAATACCAGTTTGGTTCGGTACTCCATCTGCGGAAGTCCGCCTGGACTAATGGTGCGTTCCAGGCAACCAGTAACTCGTGTTTTCACAACCTGTAACCCGTGAAAGTGCACTGGAATGGCAGTCAAACCCGTAACTTCCCACCCGTGAACTCGTACCAGATCGATGTACTCCCAGTTACGCTTTCTGACGTCACACATCCCTCTAAACCAATTACCTTACTCCTCTAAACAACAATGGCAGCCCTATGGATGCGGTGTTGATGCAGGTGATACAAGGTGAGAAATAGACATAAAATAACCCTAATGTTAACGCATTATTGGCAGCCGCTCTAACAGCTGGTTTCCAGTGCAAGAATAATCAATACAAAATACATTTCCAAACACGCTCAAATGAGCAAGGAGCAGGCACCTTTGGCGATAGAAATAATGGGGAAGCACAAACAAACGGTTCTCCATGTTCAGCGTTAAACAGGAAGTAACTGGCAGTTTGCTGTAACTTTCCTGGAACGCTACAAAGTCGTAACTCGTGACTTGAAGTCATGACTTACGAGTTCAAAAGCCTGCCTGGAACGCACCATAAAAGCGGACGTCTGCAAGCCCTGTGCGCGCAAAGCTCAGATTTTACCAAAGAGCATGGATACCAAGAGGCGAAGCTCAATGGAACGCCCCATAGCAACAAATTCCCCCATGGTTTCGTCCTACCGCCGCCATTTTGGACAGTCAGCAGACCACAGCAGACCCGCTTGCATACAAAAACACACAGACAAACTGAAGTATATCGCTATTAATTATGCTTACAATGCTACTCACCTCGTGATAGCTTGGTCACAGCTGCTTTTTCACGTTTTTGTAAAGCAAAATATAGACTTTAAAAAAAAACAAAACAAGGAAAAACGGCCGAGATGGCATCTCTACATATTACATCCACTTATGAGAAGATTAACTTAATTACTCAATATTTTAACTAGAAACACATTAATGGCGACGTCACATAGTCAGGTATAAAGATTTATTTACAGTTTGTACAGTAAGGGGACAGTAATAATAATAATAATAATAATGATAATATATAAGCTATTTTAATATGATATATTTTAATGCTAAAGCGCTAATCAGTTCTGATATAAATGGTCCAAGAGGCCATATATAGGCCTATATATACATATACATATATCTTCCCACGAAAACTGGCATATTAAATTGATATTAAAACACTTTAAAATGTACACCTCTGTCGGGATCCTTCGGGAAACGGTGGAAGGCCAGGTGTGGGGTGTTCCACTGATAGTTGTTGCAGTTAATTGCACTAAACTGTTTTCTTTTACTTTTTTTCTCCTCTCTCCTTGACATCTTGCATGTTGTCTGGACGCAACAGTCCAAGCTCAACAGTCCAAAATGGCGTTAGTACCCCTAGTGGCTGTTGGCAGAAATTCAACGGAGCTTCGCCTCTTGGTATCCATGCTATTTGATTTTACGACCGTGCAAACTCTGCTCCGCGCGCCAGTGTCACACAAAAGACTGCTCGGCATGTATTTTTCACATCGCGGGGATTTTTCACGGACATTTTTACAGGAAACTACAACGCAGAAGTGCGCTCAACTATGGAAGCCCGAATGACTGCGGACGTTCCTCAAGTAGTCCACTCCGCTTATAGTAAGCCCGAGTCTGTGAGCACCTGTGTCTGCCTCTTCGCCAAGCGCACAGCAAGCAGGAGAGAGAGGGGGGTGGGTCGGGGACTGAGCTAGGGGGTGCAAGTGCGCATGCGCCGAGGCCTCTACTGTAGCCTGGAGTTTGTTTAACAGTGACGGGGAGTCGATAAAAGCGGACAATTTAGTCTTGAAGAAATCAAAGAATGCGCCAATATGGCAACACTTTGGCTTTGAGCCAGACGAAGGAGGCAACCCTTGTTTGCACTGATTGAGTAAGCTAAACCTGCAAATTTATTTGTAAGGAATAAAAGAAACAAAGTGTTACTGTCACTGGACCTTTTTTTTTTCTCATACCGACCCAACCCTAGTTCAATCACATTTCCAAAGTCTACAAAAGCCATATGATTAAATTATTTTGTCACCATTTAAGTTCGCAGAGGGCTAAACCAGAAGTTAGTCCCTCATCTTGCGAAAGTCTGTAGTGCGCTTGCTCTATAGGCCAACAATGCAGAAGATCTGGGTAATTTTATACCTGGGAAATCAAACTTTTTGGGCTTTACCCTCCATCCTAACTTTAATAGGAATAAACAGGGCCCTGTCTCTAGCGCTGTATCCAGTTCTCTTTATACATCCTTGGATCGTACAGGGGTAGACAGATTGCAGAGTGAAAGCGAGGCTTTTAAGGAACCAATCTAAACTCCGATGGTGTCATGACTCTATAGCCATTAGATTGTGCCATCATAATGATAAGTTAAAGCAAAAAAAAGTTTCTATTTCCACTTGAACAAGCCCAAATCCCAAGAGAACTTGTCAACCTCATGGTGGCACTGGAGGAAAAAGTCATGGGATCATCAAAATCAGTAGGAATAACTTCTTGTGAATATGAACGTCTGCACAAACATCCATCAAACAGCTGTTTAGATTTTTCCGTCTGGACCAAAGTCGAGGAGCCACCAACCAACAGTGCCGACTCTAGAGCCATGCCGCTAATGTGTCTAAAAATAAAGGCGACAAACGTTCATTAAAATGGATTAAAATTGACATGCACACACCTGAGGACATAGGTAACACAGAGGATGCAGAGTGGCTGGTGGGCGCCAGGCCTGGACTTCGAGGGTCGGACGCTGGGGATGACCGCACTATGACTCTCCACCCAGACGTAACCTCCACCTCTCACCAGCATCCTGTACTGACCGCTGACTGACTGACTCTTCAAACACACTGCAGAGAGAGGAGAGATTGAATTAGAAACTTACAGGCGTGTAATGTGTGTGTTTGTGCATTAGTACTTACAGTTGAGATGATTTTTAGCCAAACAGTTTGTGTCCAGTGTGTGACAGAGATCATAGATGGAATGACCCAGCAGGTCCTCAGGACTGTACCCTAGAAGGAAAGTCACTCTGCAAAAACACACAAAGAAGTGACGGTATATACATTTAACTTACAAAAATACTGCCTGTCTTTAAGCTCAATGAATGAGTTACTACACGTCCTACAAATTTAGTTTCACTTATTCAGCAGCAGCCACAAACAAGTTCACAGTTCACAGATATTATGCAGTCGTGGGTCTAAAATTTCAAAAAGGGGAAGGTAAAAAGGGAACGAAGAAGCAGTTAAAGTTCTGAATTTTTTTTCTTCCATTTTTGTCACGCTAAATTAACCCCTTAAAATCCAGTTTTCTCTTTTTGTTTCCCATTAAAGGCATACTTCAACCCCCAAATGATCATTTGTGCATCAATAGCGCAGCCCGAGTTATGTTGAATTTGGGAAGAAAACTTCTTTTCTCATGTGCCTCCACGGTGAACGAAGACAAAAAGCCAAATATTCTTGATAAATTTAAGTCATTGGGGTTCATGTTTAACAGTGGCAACACTATATCAAACACAACCTTCTTTTACATTAAATTATCGTGAAATTTCTCCATTTTTTGGATTCTTGGTTCACCGTGGAGGCATGCCAGAAAAGTTCTCTTCCCAAATTCAACGTGGACACAGGGTGAGTAATTGAGATACAAATGATCACTTGTGGGGTGAAGAAGCTTGAAGGAAGTTCAAATTGGCTTCTGTCACGGGTGGGTTTTAATGTTTGGCTGCGCAGCATAAATTTGTTAATGAAACAGGGATGAACTCATTTGAAACAGAAGATGCCTCTTAGTGTGGTAAATATACAGTGTTGTATAATGTGACATGGCCCCTCCTCTTTTCAAAACCCTGTCTATTCTCTCGATACCAATCTCTTTTTTGTACTTAAAATGTATAAATTAGGGCTGTCAATCGATTCAAATATTTAATCGTCATTTATCGCAACTAAATCCCAGCGTTTTTTATCTGTTGTAAATGTGCCTTAAAGGGATATTTCTCAAGTTTTTAATACTCTTAAAGTGGAAAAATACACCGATCAGCCAAAGCATTCAAACCACTGACAGGTGAAGTGAATAACTTTGATTATTTTGTTCCGATGCATTGTTCTGCTGGGAAACCTTTGGTCCTGGCGTTCACGTGGATACCACCTGACATGTTCCACCCACTCAAACACCGCTGCAGACCAAGTACCCCCCCTCATGGCAACAGTACTCCCCCAGCAGGACAATGCAGCATGCCACACTGCAAACATCGCTCAGGAATGACCCAAGGAATGTGACAAAGACCTCAAAGTGTCAACCTGGCCTCCGAATTCCCCAGATCCCAATTTGAATGAGCATCTATGGCACGTGCTGTTAACCCGCCTCACAATCTGCCGCCAACGCACTGGTGCCAGACACCACAGGACACTCACAGATATCCTGTGTCCATGCCTCTACAGGTCAGAGCAAGTCTGATCCAAGGAGGCCCCACCTTGGATTAGGGGTACATCTGAGGTACCAGCACATCACAAGAATCCTTGAGCAGATTGGGACCTGGGAAATTTAGAAGCCAGGTCGACACCTTGAGCTCTTTGTCACGCTCCACAGGACATTTCTAAACTGTTTTTGCAGTGTGGCATGCTGCATTATCCTGTTGCCATGAGGGGGGGTACTTGGTCTGCAAGTACCAAAGGAATTTGTGTTAACTCGTTATTAACGCATTAACTTTGACAGCCCTAGTATAAATTAATAGACGTAGCTACTGTGATGTCACTAACTAGTTTGTGGACTCCCGTTTAGAGTTCGGCATTTTAGCATCTTGGGTTTTTTTGGACCCAAAAGTGAGCATATTTGGACGAGGGGATTGAGCTGTGGAGGGGTGGGAGGCGGATCCGACTCATAGACCTGCAAACTGCCTGCCACTCAAGTGTCCTCGCCCTTAAATATGTGTAACTTAAAGCCTTGATAAAATGTGAACAGGTGAGATATAAAAAGTCACTCTTCGTAACGTTGTCATGAATGTTAAATCAGCTTTGTGCCAAGCTGTAAATCAGCCTAAAGTGGCCGTTCAAGGAACTCAAGTTTTTGGCACTTACGCACTGGCTTCATTTCTCTGCCTACGTGGTTGCCGAAAACCAAAGTTACGGCCTTGGAACCAGAAGAACATTATCAATGCAGCACAGATGAGTAATAAAGAAAGATGGGCATTAACTTCAATACTTTTTCCTTTTTCATAAGAATTTCATAATGTCCAACACTGCAAAATTAAATCACAACTCTTCCTTGTTATATACCATGAGAGTTAAATTCATACAATATGCACTTGACTCTGACTGCTCTTCAGATGCTGATTTTTAGGCTAAAACACATTCTTACACCACTGTGTAGAAGTACAGAGCAAAGAATGCATCCCCACCCACCCCCTTCACCCTGTGTGACTTGTATGTTAACATGCACAGTTAAGTCGAGCTGCGGTTATAGCTCGACTGGGACATTTAATTGGACTTCTGTCCAATCGATCTATTGATCAAAGTATGTCCGACTCTGCTATGATAGGTGGTGATGTGCCCCTTTTCAGCTTATTAGTATTGAACCTTTTTCCAGTTGACCTATGACGTCACAGACCAAACAACCAAGCTAGCTACGGTTAGCTAGCGGACCCTTCGTCTGTCCAAAAATGCACGGCTCTGGATGTAGATTTCGCTTCGATTTCATTGTTACTGGCCTCTTCTTCTGTTACGCATTTAATACTATTCAACTTCCAGGTCATGTCTCCCGGGGCGGAAATTGCAGGAGTAACTCGACTCCCAATCACTTTATCTGGGTGTGTTAGTCCAGCTTTGAGAAACTGGATTTAGTACGATTTCAGTCAGACTAACATGTTTACATGTATTTTAAACGTCTAGTTTTAGCTGGACTAACACAATAAATAAATTTTCTTTCACGTCATGTAAACATACTGACTGTGAAGTTGCTTGACTTCCTGGCATCATCACCATCTGGTACGCTGCTGCCACAGCTGAGATCAAGGGCAGACTGCAGCGTATCACTCGCTCTGCTGGGAAGGTGATTGGCCGCAATCTGCCATCCCACTTGGAAGACTGTGGCTGACCCTTCCCACCCTGGACACAATCTCTTTGAACCACTCCCCTCTGTTAGGAGGCTGCAGTCCATCAGGACCAAAACCTCACGCCACAAGAACAATTTCCTCCCAAGTGCAGCTGGCCTCATCAACAAGGCCCGGGACCCCCACTGACACTGGTTCCTATCCAGACACACTCCTGATATTATGGGTTACATTAACGCACATCCTTCAATCATCACTATCACCCCTTTGCACATATTCTTGTACCTGTATTACACTGTGAACGTTTACGACCTCTGAACAATGAAAAACTAATTTAATATGAAACCTTCAATCACAAACCAATACACAAGAACGAATAAAGCACATGTCCTCCTGAGACCCAAACTTTTGTTTGGTATGCATTTTTAATTTCTCCTAGCTATTTGGTATCAGTAGGACCTGCTAAGTATAAAAAACTAAACACTGTTAATGATAATAAAGTCCTAATGCCTTCAGACAAGTACTTCCTAATTAACAGTGTCTTAGCTTGTTAATGATGCTAAAATTGGTCAAATTTGTTGCCATATCAAACTACAAACATTATTGATCATAATTAAAAAAGTTTCAACCATAAAATGTGATCAGGGTTTGGACCTTGTCCACTTTTGTGTTGGGATCAGCTGCAGACTGACTTGGCAGAGATGGCTGCCATCTTGTTTTTACATGGATCAGTGTATTGTGCTCTTACTACCACTAGATGGCACAAAGAAGAGTCCACGAACGAGGACAACAGGTCTGAGTTAAGTAGATTGAAGTATAAGGTCAAGTAAACCCAAAATGTGATGTCCTCATATGAGGACACAGGGTCTCAGGAGGATATAAAAAATGACTGGCGACTGCACAAAGGCGTGTGGACATATATATATTTTAAATCACCTCTGGTCACAGTACGTGAACCTCATGTCCATGCTGTGCTGACTAGTGAAGGTGTGTGTGCTGAGGAGTGTGTGTGAGAGGGGCAGAGACTGGCAAGTCAGCAGCAGGCAGGAAACTGAAGACGGGGCGACACACGCCTTTGCTTGGCCCTGGCAGTGCAAGACCTAAAACCAAAAAGAGAGAGTGATTAAAACTGAGCCAAATAAATGTTTGAAAATGTGCAGGAGAGGTTAAAAGCCAGCAAAGGTTAGATATCGATAGTCATACTTCAAAAAAGGAAAAAAGATAAAAACAAAGACTGCATAAATCATCAAAGTTTCAAGACTGAAGCGGGATTTACACATGTGCTGCAGACCCTACGCTGTAGCCTACGCAGTTGTGAGCATTTATAGTTGTGCGGTGGTGTGTCTGTGTCACTCTGCAGTTACACCTCCTAAACACTAGTCAGCGGCGGAAGTAATTAGTTGGTTGATTCTAAACACACATTAAACACACATTAAACATGGCTTAATAGAGACAATTTCAAACACAAGTACACAAATCAGCTTCACTATAACTCGCAGCATTCACAGACAAACACTTGTCTTTATCTGGACACATTTTCCCCACAAATACAACATGCTAATGTTGTTAGCACAAGCCTATGGAATTTTACATTGTATAAATTAGCCTAGCAGCTAGCTGACTTTTCCTCTTCTCATATGAAGCCAGGGACAACAGCAACATTTAACAAAGGTAACATTTCAAAATTTGGCTCCATTACAACTCACAAGGTTCACTGACAAAACAACACAGCCAGGATAAATCACACACATGACTTGAAATGCTATTTTTGTGGAGGCTTTATTGTCTTCACAATTTATTGTTTCTTATCTGTGAAATTAAAGTAAATAAAAGCTTTGTTTCCACTGAGGGAAATGGTTTCAGCTTACAAAAATAGACAGGAGGTCTGCGTCGCCACAACGTGTAGTTACATTTCTGGGGAGGTGCATGTCAGGCTACGGTGTAGGATCTACGCAGAAGTATAAATTCCGCCTAAGCAGTGATACAAATTTGATAGAAATGTACAATTTACAGAGTTTATGTTTACAAAGAAATCCATGAAGAGTTAAAAACCTCTGCTAATCAAGAGTCCTCTTCAGATGTTTAATTAAAAATGATCAGAAACTGTTTGCTGCTTCACGGTGTAGCATGGTATTGTTTCTCACCAACCTTCCACGTAGCTGACTTGAGGTTGGCGCTTCTTCCCCTGTGTGTCTGAGCGCTTTTTATCCTCATGACAAAGTCCCTCTTTGCACCGCACCAAACTTCCTCTAAAAAACAAACAATTTAAGAAGCTACATGAATAAACCTGCTCAAATGTGTGTGATCTCTCTGAACAATCCGACACACAGACACACACACCTGCGGTTAGACGTAGATTATGTCTGATTTCTTCATGGTCACAAGGATGAGAAAACTCGAAAATGTTGTGTCCCATCAGCTCAGTCTGTGGAAGAATTTAAAGAACTCATCTTCAAATCCTGCATCCTAAATGTACATCATTCATGTAGAAAACGTGTGTGTGTGTACCTGTGTTAAGCCCATGTACTTGCTGACGTTATCAGACAGGTAGATCATGTCTCCCTCGGTGGACACGACCATCAGAAACCCTTCCAGGATCCTCAGGTACATGCTGGTCTCCTCCGAGGCCTCAAGATCCTCCGTTTCTTTCTCCTCCTCTTCGTCATGTCCTCTGTCACGCTCTCGCCGTTCCTCTCCACCTTCCACCACTTGTCCACATTTTACCGCATGACTGGCCTCAGCTTTTATCCCGGTCTTACCTGGAGCAGCGCAACACAGGAAGTCATTTTTATCGATTGTGTTACTGTCTGATCTCTTTCACAAAATTGCTGTGGAAAATAGTTCCTTTTATGGGAAACTATTCTCTTCTACATTCTCAGTGGGTTCAGTCTAAGTGTTTGTGGGAACTATGAACAAAGAATGTGGTGTTTCGTGAATGTTGCTTTCAAACTGTGTGTGTGTCCCAGGTGTTAGTACTCATGTTAAAGGACTTCCTCTCTGTCTGACACCCGTCTCAAACCCACCAGTATTGTGACTACAGTGTACCACATCAAACTGATGTTTTGCTTTCTGAAGCAGAAGTTACCGTTCTGCATAAGAGCACATTTCAGTCACACTTATGAATACTTTGAAACAGAATTTACCTCGCAACTGTCTGTGTATACGTAGGATCAAAGGTTCAGCGGAAATATACAGTACTTTGGACACAGCGCCATGAATTCCTTTATTGTACACAGGGTTTATTCAGCTTACGGCAAGTCAGATTTGATCATTTAAAGACTCATCAGTGGTGGCGGGTTAGAACCAATTTTGCCTGAATGAAGCTCCAGAAAAACTTCAGTCAGGAAGACTATACTTGTGCATGCTTAGGTCTGTAATTTATTTCTTACACCATTTGCCATTCACTCGTCAATTTCTTGCTGTCGTTGACAGAGGCTGTCAATTGTGACATCAGCTGTTCTGTAAGCTGATGAGTTACGCACCTTCTCTTTTAGCCTATCGTCTCGCTGCTTCTTGTTTTAAATTAGGTTCAGTCAGGAAAACTGAGGCAGAGAGAGCACACCTCCCTGCCCTTCCATGTGCATTGAGGAAAGCCTGAGGCAGAGAGAGTACACCTCCCTGCCCTTGCCCTTGTGAATAAAGTCACAATTAAGAAAGTCGTAAATTTATCCTGATCTTTAACTTACTCTGTGACTTTTATTTCTCGTAAATTTACGAGTTTAATCACATAATATTATGGCTTTTTCTCAAACAATTACAGCTTTATTCTCACTATATTACAACTTTTTATTTCGGGAAATTGTAAGACTTCATTGTCAAAAAATTACGACTTTATCTGTCTTTTGACCAGGGATGGCGTAAGATGTTTTCCTATGTACATACCGCAAAAAAGTCACAATGTTACAAGAATAGACTTGTAATTTAATGACAATAAAGTGATTATATTTCAAGAAAAAGTTGTGAAGAAGAATAAAATCATAATTTTTAGAAAAAAGTCATTACAAGAATAAAATCCTAATTTAATGAGAATAAAGTCACATGATTTTGAAAAACGTTATATTACAAGAATAAAGCTGTAATTTCGAGAGAAAAAATTGTGAAAATAAAGTCATAATTCCATAAGAGTAAAGTCACACTTCTTCAAGAAAAGAGTTGTAATATTACAAAAATTAAGTTGTAATTTTATGCAAAAAAGGTCATAATATTTATCTTTAACTTACTCTGCGACTTTTTTCCTAGTAAATTTACAAGTTCAATCACATAATATTATGGCTTTTTCTCAAACAATTGCAGCTTTATTCTGGTAATATTACAACTTTTTTTTCTTTAAATTATATGACTTTATGGTCAAAAAAATTACAACTTCAATCTCGTAATATTACAACTTTTTTTCTTGAAATTGTATGACTTGATTGTGGCTTTGATGACCGCTGGTACCTTTGAGCAGTGTGTGCATGCGTATGTAGCTGAGGGTGAGGCGAATGACCGAGGGCTTGTCCAAGTGAGCTCGCACAGACGGCTGGAGCGGCAGGAGGCCCGACAAATCACCAAACACCTCAGACTCCACCCGTCGTCTCCTTCTGGCTGCCTCGCGGCTGATTGCCCTGGAGAGGAAAAAAAAAAAAAGAAACAGTTAGGATGACTCAAGCTATCTTAATAACATTTACAAGGATTTTACTGAGTTGCTATGAACTCACACTGCGCTACCACAGACCTCACACTATATGACACTATATTAATATGGATGGGATGCACACACAAATCATGATTACACTCACAGACGTATGAGAGTATGGTATGTCCACCTTTTGCAGCTGTTACAGCAGCACAGCTTTCTGGCATAGTGTCAATATATTTCTCGAGAACTTCAACACTAATGTCATCCCATGCCTTCTGCAACTCAAGCTAAAGGCTTTCCTTTGAATGTTCAAAAGATCTGTCCACTGTATTTTCCAACTTGCCCCAAATTTGCTGGATGGGGTTGAGGTCCAGACTTTGAGGGTGCCGGTCCATCATTTTCAATGTTCCAGCAGATTCCTTCTGTCACAGGTAGTTCTGGCAATAGTTAGAAGAACGTTTAGGGTCATTGTCCTCTTGGAAAGTAAATCCAGGCCCAATAAGACGACTCCCAGATGGTACTCCGTGCCTCACCAGAATGCTGTGGTATACTTTCTTATCCATGATGACATCAATTTTCACTAAGTCACCTGTTTCTGAGGCTGAAATGGCACCCCAGACCATAATACTACCCCCTTGTTTAACCATTGGCAAGAGACACTCATTTTTATCTCTCTCCCCATCCCTCCGTCGAACATACACTATTTGCTTGTTGCCAAACTGCTCAAACTTGGATTCATCGGTCCACAACACTTTATATATATTGGAGTTATGCTATGTAACGTGTGAAATAGAGTATGGTGAATGTGCCAGAATAGGTAGTATTGGCACTGTCACTACCTGGAGCTGGCATAAACGGAGCCTGGGTTTATTAAAGGTGGCAGTGTTGTTTGGGCTGAGAAAGCCTATCAGTTTATCTTCTCTATCTCCTTTAACTTTAGCTTATATTGGAGTTATGCTATGTAGCGTGTGAAATAGAGTATGGTGAATGTGCTAGAAAAGGTAGTATCAGCACTGTCTCTACCTGGAGCTCGCATGTACGGAGCCTGGGTTTGTTGAAGGTGGCAGTGTTGTTTGGGCTGAGAAAGCCATGCATAAGCAAGGTAAAGGAGGTTGTTGGGTTGGTGCAATTGGGTCGTCCAATGAGTTTTGAAGCATTTAGTTGAATCTGAGCAGATAATGGTGCCCCAAACACTTCAGCTTTCATCCTGCTGCTCTTGTAAGCAAGACAAGACTTCACTAGAATAAATACAGAGGGTTTATCACAAGATGCAAACCATTGGTTAGCCTTAAAAATGGAAGGCCAGATTAGAGTTTGTCAAAAACCATCTAAAAAGCCTGTACAGTTGTGGAACAGCATACTATGGACAGATAAAACAAAGATCAACTACCAGAATGATGGGAAGACAAGAGAAGGAAGAAGGGAAGGAACTGCTCATGATCCAAAGCACACCACCTCATCAGTGAAGCATGGTGGAGGTACTGTTATGTCATGGCCATGTATGGCTGCCAGTGGAACTGGTTCTCTTGTATTTATTGATGATGTGACTGCTGACAAGAGCAGCAGGATGAAAGCTGAAGTGTTTGGGGCACCATTATCTGCTCAGATTCAACCAAATGCTTCAAAACTCATTGGACGATGCTTCACAGTGCAGATGGACAATGACCTGAAGCATACTGCAAAAGCAACCAAAGACATTTTTAAGGCAAAGAAGTGGAATGTTCTGCAATGGCCAAGTCATATCATCTGACCTGAATCCAACTGAGCATGCGTTTCTCTTGCTGAAGCCAAAACTGAGGGCAAAACACCCAAAACACAAGCAGGAAGTGCAGACGGCTGCAGTAAAGGGCTGGCAGAGCATCACCAGGGAAGAAACCCAGCATCTGATGATGCCTATGTGTCCAACACTTCAGGCAGTCATTGACTGTAAAGGATTTGCAACCAAGTATTAAAACTGACTGTTTAATTGATGATTATGTTAGTTTGTCCAAATACTTATGAGCCCTTAAAGTCGGGGGACTGTGTGAAGAAATGGTTGTAATTCCTACACGGTTCATACTACATTTTTGAAAAAAGCCTTAAATGAAAGCTGAGAGTCTGCACTTTAAGCAAGTATTCATTGTTTCATTTAAAACCCATTGTGGTGGTGTACAGAGCCAAAATGACGACAACTGTATCATTGTCCAAATAATTATGGACCTGACTGTATACATATATATGTATCTTTTAAAAATGGTTTCAGTTCTAATAAAACCCTCCTGTTTCACTTAAAGGGTCGAGAAAGTTAATGCACTGTGAAAATATCCCGTTGTTGCAATTCTACTTTGTTACAGTTTCTTAGATTAATGTAATTATTTTTATCCAGATATTTAATCAAAATGAGAGAGGCGCTCGACAACATTTACTCAAAGTCTCGCTGAGGTACTCAAACCTTTGCTTCACTACATCTCAGACAGAAACACTGCACCTTTTCCTGTACAGTTTGCTTACTACTACCTGTAGCTTTGCAGAGTCAGATTCTACCTTGTGAATGACTGATAAAACATCACTGTTTCACCAAAACGTCAGCTTTGCAGGAACTCTGAAACACTCATGTTTGAGCCTGATGACACGGAGACTTTTTGACATTATCTGATGAGACTGCGGAGAATTTCTCAACACATAAGGAAGCATGCAATAACTTCCACTGAGATGACGCTGGTGAGTTACAAAATCTCCAGTTAGAGGGTATTTTCATGCGCTCATGTGCACGCTTACTTTTGATAAAGATACACATTCACTGCTTCTGTACTTTTAGTTAAGATTTTTGATAGAAGGAGTTTTTTTAAATATATATTTTTCCACTTTAACTTTTCTGTATGGTAAACTGATGAGGACGGTGGTGCATTGTGGTCAGATATGCATCAACACACTCATTCTGTATTTGAGGTGAAAGGTTCTTTTTATTTTTATTTATTTAGTCTATTTTTTTAAAGATATTTTTAGGGCATTTTTTTGCCTTTAATTGATAGGATAGTGAAGTGTGAAACTGAGAGAGAGGGAGAGACATGCAGCAAAGGGCCATAGGCTGGAGTCGAACCCGGGCCGCTGCGGCAACACTGGGGTGCCTGCTCTACCACTAAGCCACTGACGCCCCATGAAAGGTTCTTCTTAAAGGATTTACGTGTATGTAAAAATTTCATTAATAAAATATTTTGATCTACTTTAAAAAAAAAAGTAACTTCCAAACTTTGACAGAAAACGTCCTCGTCCCATACAGGAATTCACAAATTCAAACAATTAAAAAATGTTTTAAAAGCCTTCAAAATCTAAAACGAACAGTGCATACTGATAAAACTGGCGTTAAAATGTACTGCTATAATTATGTTTTCAAATTTTTTTTTTTACAAAAAATGTGGCTCTTCAAAGATGCATCCCAGATTTTTGTCAACTCTGCCAGATTTCCAAAACCATCATTTAATCAGGCATAAAAGGTGTTAGCTGTACCCTAAGCTTTCTATTTTTTAATTAATTTATTAAATAATGCGATCAGGTGAGTCTCAACCATAGGAGTTCATCCTGGAGCTCTACATCAAAACTAAACAAGAAATATGGTTTAAAAGTAAGTGTGTTGATGGCATTAAGAGAACTCTTAGCAACTTTGAAAAATAAAATGGCTACTCACCACAACTGCTGTGAAATTAATAAATATATAACTTTTTGTCAACTCCGACGTTTAATAGTCAAGATCTTTAAAATATATTTTCCCAGCCTATTTTAAGAGAGAAAAAAACATAAAACAAAAAGGGTTTTGTCCCAATTCTGCGGATGAAGTGCCAAACAGTCACAGAAACAATTCAGTTAAAGCCCAAAAACATACAACAGCCTGAATATATTTTCAAAGACAAATCAGACACACTGTGAAGATGGTTATCAAAATGTCTGAAAGCAACATGCAGCTCTACCTTCTCTTCTCCTTGTCGGCTGTCATTGCGTCCAACAGGCGTCTCTATCCGGCGTCATGGTGAACATTGGCTCAGAACAAAAGAGATGGAGGCAGCAGGAATTCACAGCGCAGCAGGGAGCCTCCCCGCTACAATTTGCACCAACACAGGTAGTCCAATTAATCAGAGAGGCAATTAGCAGTGCCAAATGTCACAAGGCAAGTGGTTCCACCCCGCAGCACAGATGACTCCAGCAGTGAGTGTCTCCTCTCCCTTCTGCATGTGCATCACCTACAGGGCCTCTAAAACTGAGCACTCTGATAGGTCAGCTGGCCAGGAAAAGCATCACCTCCCCTCCCCTCCCCTCTCTTCTCACAAACTCTGAAGCATCCCACAGAACAGATCTGCTTGTGAACAGCAGCAGGCAAGAATCGATTAAAAAAAGAAAAGAAAAAGAGAAAGAGCGAGGAGGGAAAGAGGACGCAGAGGAGTCTGGGAGTGATGTAGACAGCTCAGTGTTTTATTGGAATCAGACCAGACAGGACTAGCCCGGCTGTTGCACTACATTTTGGCACAGAGTAAGATAGTGTGACCAGGAACAGCCCTACCCCTGGGTGCACAAAGCTTCACTACACACCGACTCTACTGCACACAGAGCAACCAGCTCGCCTTCAGAATCACTGTACAGTACACGCGACAACAGTCCTTCTCTGTGTGTGCATGTGTGTGTGTCTGTAAGACAGAAGAAGAGAGAGGAAGAGGGAGGAGGCAAAGGAGAGAGTCTGTGTGTGGGTAGGTTTTTTGTTTGTGTGTGTGTGTGTGTGTGTGTGTGTGTGTGTGTGTGTTTGAAATGAGAGGTAATTCAGCTGCTGGTTTTCCACATTTCTCTTCGCCCCGGCTGTAACAGACCTATGATAGTATAGTTATAGTATTTTACACAAAGGTTTCCTCCAGATACACTTTACAATAATAATAATAATAATAATAATAATAATAATAATAATAGCTATGATAAAAAACAGAGCAATAAGAAAGAAAAGCCATTCTTGAAAAAAAAAGCAAAAGTCAGAAAAGCAAGTGGTTTTGGCTGAGTGAGACGGCTGCTGGAGGCAGGAAAGGGGAATCGGTGCTTTGGAGGAGAGGGGAAGGAAGAGGAGGGAGGGCTGAAAACACTGATGGTAACTATAGAAACAGAAATGCTGAGGACGAAGTCACACACCAACAGGGAGAAAGAAAAATCATGCATTCACACATACGAAAATGTTCATTCACATAAAAAACAAACAAAAAAACCCCAACACCCACAGGCCAGCTCATTCACGCCGGCAGGACTGACAGACTCTGAAATTAGCAGACAGATGAAAGAAGTGGAAATCGGGCTTTACGCTGCTACACAGGCCGCCTGTAACACTCTGCTCCACATAATTAGTTCCATAGCCTGTAACTTGTAAGCTCAACATTCATTTTATATACACCAGACAGGAGGAGGATGAGTACGACAGAGAATTAGTGCCACGTTGAAGAAAAAAAAGTCATAATTTAATTAAAATAACGTCATGCTATTTCAAGGAAAAAAGTAGTGATATTACGAGACTAAAGTCATCACTTTGAGAAAAAAAGTCACAATGTTACAAGAATAAAGCTGTGATTTAATGAGAATAAAGTCCCACGATTTTGAAAAAAAAAAAAAAAAAAATTTAGAATAAAGCTGCAATTTCATGAAAAAAGAATTGCGGAAATAAAGTTGGAGTTCCGTAAGAATAAAGTCACACTACTTTGAGAAAAAAAAAAGTCGTAATATTATGAAAATTAATAAATTATAATTATAATTTTAATAAATTAAAATTGTACGACTTTGTCAATAGATTGCGACTTTATTCTTGCAATATTACAACTTTTTTTCTTAAAATTGTATGACTTTATTGTCAATAAATTACAACTTTATTCTCGTAATATTACAACTTTTTTTTTTGAAATTGTACGACTTTATCTACAATAGTTATGACTTTATTCTTGTAATATTACAACTTTTTTTCTTGAAATTGTATGACTTCATTGTCAATACATTACGACTTTATTCTTGTAATATTTCAACTTTTATTTTCTTGAAATTGTATGACTTCATTTCCAATAAATTGCAACTTTAGTCTTGTAATATAACCAGTTTTTTAAAAAAAAAAAAAAATAGTGTGACTTCGTTCTCATTATATTACAACTTGTTCGCATAATCTGACTTTTTCCCCTCAAAATTACAACTTATTCTCGTGATATCATGATTTTATTCTCGAAATAAAAAATCTTTTTTTTTTTCCATTGTGGCTCTAACACTCCGTTGTAGATGAGCGCGAGACTTCATTCATACCACAACAACAACAAAGAAAAAAAAATGAGGAAAAAAAACACACACACAAAAATAATACATAAACAAAACAAATAAAATATATAGATAGTCAGGGTATTGCACAAAGGGTATTTGGCCCTAACCGGTCCAGAATAAGGACAGTAATAACACAGGTAGGGTGCTTGTCCATGCGCCACGACTCTCCTTTACTAGCAGACAATACCAACACAATACAGCCACTCAACACAGGCTATATACAGGCCTCTGCACCCAGCACCCACTGTACAGTCCTGGTGCTGGGGAGAGAAGCAGTGTAAGTGTGTGTGTGTGTTTGTGTGTGTGTGTGTGTTTGGTTGTCTGAGCATGTGCAGTGAGAGTGTTTGTGTTGGAGCAAAACTCGGGATTGTAGTGTGTGTTTGTGGGTGTGTCTGCATTAAAAGTGTGCAACATGTGTGTGTGTGTGTGTGTGTGTGTGTGTGTATGAGAGCATGTGCAGGTGTTTATATTCATATTCATAGTCATATTCATATTTATATTCATAATTAACCCAGGCAACAAGAACAACACAATGCAAGTAAAGAATATTCCAAAAAGTAACAACAACCAATAGCTTCAAAGGAGTGATTGTGTGCGCGTGTGCGTGTGTGTGTGTGTGTCTTGTAAAGGGATTGATGGTTCTACACATGTATGAGTGTCAGCAATGTGTGCGTACGTGCGTGCCAGGTTTAGTGTTGTTGGATCAGTGTGTGTGTGTGTGTGTGTGTGTGTGTGTGTGTCTGTCTGTCTGTAAGTGCTAGGTCTGCGTCTCCTCGGGGGCGCAGTAGGAGAAGTCTTTGAACTCCTCCTGGTTGATCTGTCGGATGATGGCCTCGTCCGTGGGCGTCAACACGGGATCCTCCTTGGTGAAGTCTTGGTCAAAGTTATTCACATCTCGCTTGGTTTTCTGCAGAGACACACACACACACACACACAGAAGGGAAGACATCAGAAGCAGAAATTTAAAGCTTTAAAAGTGACATTAGGGCGACACCTTCTGACCACTGAGACTTACTGCCTTCTCTGTGACGATAACACACATACACACAGTGGATACACAGTGCATACTGTCTCCTACATGTGTGGCAGCTCATCCTACAACAGTGGTTCCCAACAGGAGGACGGGTGACCACTTCAAGGGCTTACAAGACAAATCTCTGGAGTCATAAGATGACTGACAGGGTGGGGGAGTATTGTTACTACATCAAAGTATAGAGTGTCTTCAGCCTATCTACTGTGCTGTATTTCCCAGTGAAATGAAATTTTAGAGAAGTGTACAAATCCTTTGCGTGTGATTGGACCGCTAAAATGTGGGCAAGCTTAGAGTTTCAAGCTAAATGGAGCTACAGCGAAGCGACTGCTAGCTCCACACACCACTCCCTCACTGATTGGGGTCATGTGTACAAAAATGTTTTTTCCCGAGGCCAGCAAATATCTAAAATTCTCTCCAATGGGAGCACTGCGTATTTACACTATGCTACAAACGCCAGCAGTGTGACGAGGCATTGAGCGTCTGTTCTGCGCTGAGCACTGCTTGTTTTCTGTTTTTTCCCTGAGTGCTGAAAAATTTTCAATTTTGGGTAAAATGCTGTGCTCGTCACTGTTGCTTTTTTATCCAGCTGTCCATTCACAGTGGAGGAGGGGCGGGACAAATACCACAACACCCAATCGTTACAACTTTCTTGCACACGTGCTAAACAGCAACATCCATCCATTTTCATCTGCTTATCCTGGGCCGAGTACTCCAAACACCCCTCTCCCGAGCAACGCTTTCCAGCTCCTCCTGGGGGACCCCAAGGTGTTCCCAGGCCAGATGAGATATGTAATCCCTCCAGCATGTTCTGGGTCTGCCCTAGGGCCTCCTACAAGTGGGACGTACCCAGAGCACCTCTAACAGGTGGCACCCAGGAGGCATCCTGATCAGATGCCTGAACCACCTCAACTGACCCCTTTCGATGTGAAGGAGCAGCAGCACTACTCCGAGCTCCCTCCTGATGTCCAAGCTCCTTACCCTATCTCTGAGGCTGAGCCCAGACACCCCACGGAGGAAACTCATTTCAGCCACTTGCATCTTGTATATGTCTTATTCTTTCGGTCACGACCCAGAGCTCATGACCGGTGAGGGTTGGGATGTAGATGGACTGGTAAATCGACCTTCTTCACCACAATGGTCCAGCACAGTGCCTGCATCACTGCAGCAACAGCAACAATGAAGGAGAAATTTGTTCATATACTGTACATATATATATCAATACGTGGCCCCTCATGAGCCCACAAGGACCAGGGGGTCTGTCGTCTCCCCCTTTGAAGGTACTAGCAGGTATCTACCATGCGAACATTTTTACTTCCACGGATATTCCGTATCACAGCAGATATGACCAACGTGTCCCAGCTGAAAAAAACACATGGCGCCTCCAAAGCGCTTTTAAGTGCTCCTAGCTGGACGTGTCCTGAGGAGCGCCTGGCGTTCTCAGGTGGACACAGCCCAGGACGCCCTCATCCATGAGGGTCTGCTTTGGTTCCTTGAGGTAAAGCCCCGTTTCCACTGAGCAGTTTGTTTGTTTGTTTGTTTCTCAGAAGGATTATGGAAAAATGACTGACCTGATTTTCATTAATAGCACGAGCCAAGGAAGAACACAATAAACGCTGGAGCAGATCTGAATCACTGAGCAAGTACAAAAATCAGTTTTTCCTCATGACACTGGCGGAGGTCTGCACTCTTTGAGTGTCCTTCCGGTTGCTTTTGCATTTTATAATGAAATACTGAATTATTCTTAGGCCCTGATCACACAGAGAGTGTTTTAGCAGCTAGAAGCGGCTTTTTGTAATTGCTTTTAATGAGAATGAAGCTTGTTGTTTGCGGTTTTTGTGTTGCGACGTGCCTTGCCGGAGTGCTCTGAACTCAAGTTGAGAAAACTTCAGAGCGGAAAAGTGCCCCATGTCATCTGTTTTTTTGTCATCTTTCTTCCCATTGTCCAATTGGATGATTTGAGAGGCGGGCCTTCTGTGGTGGTCACGACAACAAGTTTACAGTTGGTAAACAATGGAGGAGAAACTGGTGGTAGCGGTTGCTGGATACCCAGAGTTATACGGCCTGACGATAGACAGCAGGTTGTCAAACTGCCCCTGAGTCATCCTAAAATATGCCTGGAAACATCCATCATGGAGGAGAAGCTCCTGGACCAACTGGTGGTACTCCCCATGATCCACCCTCTTTTTTAGGGTCTCATGTACCCACACAGATCTCTGTTTCCCTGTGCCCAACAAACTATTTACTGACAGCCTCTCACCCTCAACCAGAGCTACAGCAAGTACCCTCTGCCTCAACATTTTAGGGACTACATACTGAAAAAAGAAAACTGTAGATTGATTAAACGGGAAAGTTAGTGTGAGGAGGTGAGGCCGTGGTTGCCTGGCAACAACAGGCGCAGCAAGCATTTTTTTTACTAGTGGCATTCAATAAAAATAAAAAAAAAGAAAAGGCAGTGCGAAGCGTCATCCTGTGTGATCGGGGCCTAATCCCTTAGACTGCACTTGGTGACATTTTTTAATACTAGGGCCACTACAAGACCTGATAATATTCCTAAACAATACTTTCTCAATACTTTCTTTTGGGAAATGTAAACGTTTAAAAACATATATTTAACACACACACACAAAAAACGTATTGGATGCATCAGAGTTGAACTCTGCAGCCACACATGAACTTTACTTAAATCAAATACAGCCTAAAATGGCATAATTATGGTTCAAATGGTGTAACTAACTGCTACAGGAACAGTGGCTTATTATCATTTTCCTTCTTCTTTTTTCGCCCCATCACTATAAATGGCCTGTGAGCTGTTTTGGCCACAAGAGGACCTCGTTTTACTGTAAACTGCAGAGCAAAGTGTTCTGCAGCAGGACACAAAAGCTTGTGGATGTGAGCAGAATGAAATTAAAACCTTCTGCATCTTTTTTACTGTAATCTGTTTTAGTAAAAGTCAGTAAAAAACAAAATACATAGCCTCGGATGCATGAATTTGTAAGTACATGGAAAACGACAGATGGTCACATTTAACAGGTTTGTCAGATTCACAGTTGTGTAAGGATGAAAAACTGTGTGTGCGTGTGTGTGTGTGTGTGTGTGTGTGTGTGTGTGTGTGTGTGCATGTGTGCGTGTGTGTTTCTTACAATCCTTGGTTTAAAGGGTGGTTTGACTTTCCTCTGCTCCAGCAGGACCCAGTCGATCTCTCTGAAGAAGGCGTGGGTCTTGATGGCCTCCTCGCAGCCCTGGCTCACCACGCAGCCCAGACGCTTGGCCGGGTTCTTGGTCATGAACTACATACACAAACACACACAATACACACGTCTGATTTCCAATCACACTGTCAGCAGTCCAGCCCCCTTTAAGACGCTCCACTGCGGTTTCATCCATAAAACGATGAGGACAGAAGCAGAACGAGGGGTTGAGCAAAAAGCATTTCAGTGCTAATAATAGAGCGGAGGCATTAATGGCTCTGTGATACAAACAGAGCGACGTAGTGGCAGAGTGATGAAACAGGTTAGCAGAGTGCTGGTGTTATTTACTGTGTCTGAAAGCTGTGTCTCTTTGGTTCTGTTGTCTGTTCAGTACTGTAAGAGCTCTTTGTGATCTACTGTGTCACTTCCATGGCGGCATTGTTACTACTTTAACCTCTTTGACTGACTTTTTTTGTTCCTCCGAGTATCGGTGCAAAGAGAAAAGGAACACCTCTGCGTTAAGTGCACTGCGAATGAGCTTCATTTGTTCGTGTGCAGCTTCGAAGACAGAAACATGAATGATAGGGAGACAGCAATGACAACAGGAGTATGGGACGGACACCTGAAAATCTCAAGTTAAACCTTTCCGCATGAAGTGAAATCTTTTGAAGGAAAAGTTTTGAAAGTCACAGACATCCATTTCGTAACGCAGCAGTGATTTGAAGGTGAAAAGACGTGTAGACATCTTGGTTAAAAGGCTACGTCTGGCCAAAAGCTGAGCGTCCTGGTTACATGTAACTGTTGTGACGACAGCATTCACATGACTGTATTTCAGCAAGCTCTTCTCTTTGATTTCAAGAACCTCTTTTATCTGTTGCAACCAAAAAACATTTTTTACATGTTTCCCGGCTCCATTTCCTCACGAAGACGGTGTTAATGTTATTTTCTATTATTAAATATTTTCAAATAAAATCACACAATCAGATCATGTGTGTGCACAAAAAGAGAAAAAAAAGCATTTTTATTTTTCACAACTTTAGAAAAAGGTTAAAACATCTTTTTAATCAAGCAACAGGGACGATATGTTTTTTTATCCAGCTCTTTCGAAGAGTCTTTCGTGATTGTGGAAATTCCTTTAGAAAGCGGTAAATGTTCTTCAGATATTTATTTTTCATAAAACTGGATGCTTAGCTCTCTAAAACTGGAGCTTCATGTGACAAAGATGTCCAAAAAAAAAGCAACCTTTCAACCATTTCAGCCCGTTTTTTTGCTTCCTTTGACTGCAAAATTACCACATATATGATTTTTAGAAAGGTTTTGTCGGAAGACATTTTTACAAAAAATATTAAGTGTATGTTGATATGGTGAAGAAATGGCTTACAAAGTACATGGATAGGAAACAAAAAGCCAAGAAGCCCTCATTCATACAGTGCAATATCTGACTGGCATGAAATCTACTTAATTTAATTATTTAAAATTAAACTATTCCTCATTTTGCCATGGACGCCTTCGAGTGCCTGCTGCAGAGGAGGAAATGTACCCATAAAGAGAAACTCTGATGAATAACCAAATAAAGACAGCACTGAAAGAGGAGTGTCATTGTGAAGAGGCGACGCATACCGCTCTGAGGATAGAAACAGCTTCTTTGCTGAGCCACACGGGGTAGAGGACGTCATCGTGGAGAATCGACTCGAACAAATCGTCTTCGTTGTCGGCTTCGAACGGAGGCTGTCCAGCCATCATCTCATACATCAGCACCCCGAGGGCCCACCAGTCCACGGAGGCTCCGTACTCCAGCTCCTGCAGGATCTGAATGCGACAACATGACACGACTCAACATGGAGGACAGGAAAATACAGCAATACAGTTCCGCTGGTGCACCTGACTGGAAAGCACTATAGACTCTGCAGAAATGCGTCGACACATGCTCACGCCATAACAGCAAAGAACTCTTATCTGTAATGTTTGTGCACAAGAAATCAAACAATTAATTTAACTGAAAAACTTCTAATGTTTATCACCATTTGGATCCTTAAAATGATAAGCAAGGTAAGTTTATTTAGATAGCGCATTTCTGCAACAGGCCCGTTCAGAGCGCCTTACGATTACGATTTAAAGTATAGAAACCAAGTGCGGAAGAAACACATTATAGGAGGACATTTACAAACAGTTATTTAAGAGCAATTCATTCTGTTAAGATGCAAAAAAACAAAAACAAAAACCATCAGAAGAATCGGCAGAAAAACTGAAATTATTACTTATATTTCCACGGACCTCATCAGATGTTTTATATATTAAAAATGAGGAAGAGATATTAGTGAAAAATATGCAAAAGTATCAAAAGTAAAAGACAAAGTAGAATTATTTTCGCTATGACTTAAGGAAAAGAAAAGACAGAAAGAGGGAAAGATGAAATGCAGGAAAGGAAATAAAGGAAGAGGAACAAAAGAGGGGAAAAAATTAAAGGAAAAGTCCGCTGAAATTTTTCCCTAAAACGTTTAATATTTAGGTATAAAACGCATTCTACTGGTTTTCTGATTTTTTAACCGACATCCACCTGTACCTGGTCTGCACTGGCGTTTAGGTGGCTGGATGTCAGGTGGCATCCACATGAATGCCAGAGCCAAAGGTTTCCTGCCAAAATATTGCATTGTAACAAGACGATCAATGTTATTCACTTCACCTGTCAGTGGTATACATATATATGTATATACTTTTTGGGCCCGATCAAAGCTCTATGTGTGGTTTAACTTATTTTTATTGGATTGGATCTGCAAACCTCTTATAATACCAGATGGATGGATATCAGTACCGACAAGGTCCCAGACAGGATTTCTCCTCTGATCATTGGGAGCAATACGGTTCAGTTCAGTACGCTTTTTTTCTGTTTCCACTGTGAAAAGTTGTGGATGGTACCAATGGAACCGTTCTGTACCGTCCCCATTTTTGGTCCCCCCTCTGTTGGGGTACCTAGCACACAGATCTGGTACTAAAAGGTGGAGCTGTGAACACTGCAGTCTGTTGATTGGTCAATAGAGGACGGTCACTCTGCTCAGGGCTGAGTTGTGGCTAGTTTTGAGGCTCATGTAACCACTGTTCATACTGTGGAGAGTTTTATTAGTAAACTGTAACTATAAAATGAAAGGATGTTTTGCTGCCTCTCACAGCAGCTGGAGTCTGAGAAAAAATAACAATTCACTGGGCCGACTGCTGGTGACTTTTAAGGTGGAACGTTAACTTGTAATGTTACTCAGTGCATGAGGTGACGACGTGAATCCATCAACACACCTTAAATTTCACTGTGACAACTTTTACCATCACTTTAGTTTTTATATGACATACACTTTTAGTAATGAGTGGATCTTCAAGTGTTTATATATTAGTTTCGGCTGAGTTATGTTAACTGCATATATTCTAATCCTCACTCAGATAAAAAATAAAGCATCGCAGAGTGTTGTTCCTGTGGGCTCCAGCAACACTAAACCCCTGAGCTTGCCTGAGAAGGACTAAATGCACAAACCCACTACTTTTAAATATCCCATGGAGAGAGACTCTCACTGCAGCCTGTTTTATTTTGTTCTGAAAATGTCAGCGTGCAGCCTCGTTCTGTGGACGATAAACGAGGTGCAGACTTCCATCTGTGTCACCAGTAATGAGGAAATACAGTGAGTGCTGGACGGAGCAGTGAGTGACAACAACCCCGCCCACATTTAAGAGTACAGTTTGTGGTGGAAACACTAGGGTCTAGGTACCATGTCTGAAGGGTTACTGTTGGTTCCAAAGGTACCAAACTGAAAATGTTTGGCGGAAATGGGGCTTATACCACGGTTGAGCTCACCTCAGGGGCGATGTAGTCTGGCGTGCCACAGAAGGTGGTGGTGGTCACTCCGTTCATGATGCCCTCTTTGCACATGCCGAAGTCTGCCAGCTTACAGTGTCCCTCTGCGTCCAACAGGATGTTATCCAGCTTCAGATCCCTGAGAGAGAAAGACAGACAGAGTGAGAATCAGCACCATCTCGTTTCCACCACAGTGGGACTCACTGGGAGAAGTGAGCATGTGATGTAAAAGAAAAAGAAGTGAGAATCATCATGTAATGCATGTTGTTATGCACCTTCTGGTTTGTTCCTGGTAAGACCATTTGTGAAATTCCCTGATAGTCAAATTATCTCAGTTTTTCTAACAAGGTGTCCTTGGCTGAAAGAACATAAAAATAAGGAGGCGTTTACCTGTAGATGACCCCGTTGCGGTGTAGGAACATGAGGGCTGAGGTGACTTCGGCGGCGTAAAAACGAGAGCGAGGCTCGTCGAACTTCCTGGATCGCTGAATCTGGAACATCAGGTCTCCTCCATTCACATATTCCATTACAAAAAACAAACGGTCCTGCATAGACAGGGAGAGAGAAAGAGGGAGGGGTATGAGACAGAAAACAGAGATGAACTTTTACATCAGCATGCGTGGGTGCTGTCTCGTGGTCTTACTCGTGTCTGGAAGCAGCAGTAAAGCTGGGTGAGGTAGGGGTGTCGGCGGGCGAGGGCCAGGATGCGCTTCTCGGTCATGGTGCAGTCCACGTCGTCATCCTGCAGGATCACGTCCTTCTTCAAAACTTTGACGGCGTAAACTTCCTCCGTCCCCTTCAGCTCTGCCAGCATCACCTGGATGAGAGGTAAAAGACAGGAAGGAGAATTTAGTATGAAAACAGCATTTAAAAATTATTGTAAAAACAAGACAGCAGAGAGAAACAATAATTTGGTTCTTCGGTTATTCGGATAAAACAAGACATCTGAACATGTTGACCTGCTCTTGGGGAAACTTGAGTTGACATGATTTAAAACAAACGCTGGCAGAACTTTAATTCAATATTCCCTTTCCTTTTTGCCCTGTTTTGGTCTCCACCCCAGCTGCTTAATGTTCAGCAGCTAGCCACTAACTTCGTCAGCTGTTTGGTGCTGTTCAGATAGTGTTTAGCAATTTATCAGAGCTTTTTTTTTCTTTTCATGAGGAAACAAAACAAAACAAACAAAAACAGCTGCCCATCAAGCTCAAGCTCATGGAGAACGTCCAGCTGGAACAGTCTCGGTCAAAATTTTATTACACCGGCTCAGAAGTCTCACCACCCAGACTCCTCCAGCACATGTTTTGGGCCTTTCCAAAGGTCAATAATTTTTGGTGTAACATTTAAAGAGCACAAGTTACTATATTTGGGACAAAAAGTGTGAGGACCTCCTTTTTGGGCTTTTACTTTCATCATCTACAAATACTAAGCCAAAATAGTTATTTGGAGATACTGAGTGTTGCTCCGGAGAAGCAACACTTAGCCTATTTTCAACCAGCTTTGTATCATAACATTATTGGTGGTATGTGTAAATGAACTGCGGCCAGATCTCCTCGCTCATCTTCCAACTCAAATCTGCTGGATTTTTTTGAAAAGTGAAAAGTTGTGGATGGTACCAATGGAACCATTCTGCACTGTCCCTATTTTTGGTCCCCCCTCTGTTGGGGTACCTAGCACACAGATCTGGTCAATAGAGTACTCAGTGCATTAGCTGACGACATGAATCCATCAACACACCTTAAATTTCACTGTGACAACTTTGACCATCACTTTAGTTTTTATATGACATACACTTTTACTAATGAGTGGATCTTCAAGTGTTTACGTATATATTAATTTGGCCAGGTTATGTGAACTGCATATATTCTAATCCTCACTCTGAGGAAAAAAAAAGCGTCGTCGAGTGTCGTTCCTGTGGGCTCTGGCAACACTAAACCCCTGAGCTTGCCTGAGAAACAAATTAGCCTAGCAGCTAGCAGACTTTTCCTCTACTCATATGAAGCCAGGGACAACAGCAACATTTAACAAAGGTAACGTTACAAAATTCGGCTCCATAACAACCCACAAACAAATATAACATGCTAACGTTATTAGCACAGGCCTATGGAATTTTACATTGTATAAATTAGCCTAGCAGCTAGCGGAGATTTCCTCTGCTCATATGAAGACAGGATAAATCACACACAAGACTTAAAATGCTATTTTTGTGGAGGCTTTATTGTCTTCGCAATTTATTGTTTCTGATCTGTGAAATTAAAGTAAATAAAAGCTTTGTTTCCACTGAGGGAAATGATTTCAGCTTATAGAAATAGACAGGAGGTCTGCATCGCCGTTACGTGTAGTTACATTTCTGGGGAGGTGCACGTCAGACTACTGCGTAGGCTCCACGTAGTACGGTGTTGATTTGACGCACACATATAAATTCCGCTTAAGACGCTTTGAGGCTCACTGCAGCTGAGGGGATCAGCTGACGATATAAAAACATTGATTAGTGCAGCTTTAATGTTATCCATAACTGTGAGGCAGTGTTTTGTTTTAGTTAGAATAGAATAAGACTAGGAAAAATCTGGTTACTGTTTGGTATGGCACGTAGTGAAATGTAATGTGTGAAAACAGCTGCCTCCAAAAAACATAACTGACATGTGAATTGTTCTATTCTGGTCCCTGATATTCCCTGATGTCTCCTGATAATTTGGCAGCCATGAATAATGGAAGCCATGATGAACAGGGTGCTAAAAGAACAACAGAAAAACCTGTTTCAATTATGAACATAATGAGCAGTAAACAAACAAACATCCCCCTCAAACGCCTCCTCTGTGTCGCCGCACCTTGCCGAAGCTGCCTTTGCCGAGAACCTTGATAAAGTTGAAGTCCTTGAGACTCCTCCTCTGGATCTGTCCGTTCTCCCTGCCTGCCGAGGAGGAGGAGGACGAGGAGGAAGAGGAGGTGGTGGAGGAGGAGGAAGAGGAGGAGGAGGAGGAGTGCTGGGGTCCCTGCTGGTCGAGTGACAGCGCGTCCTGCAGGCGTTCTAACTGTGCCAAGTCTGTGGGTGCCAACGGAAAAGCAGATCAGACATCAGCGAAAACAGGCTGACTGTCTTTTTTGCTGTCAGTTCATTATGCAAAAAAATATATGTATATATATAAATATATATATTTTTTAGAAATGTTGTTCATTATTTGTTACTGATTACTTTTCAATAAACTTGATGATGATGAAAAATGATGATCACATCCTCTGTTGAAACCTGGGATGACTCAGTTACAGCGTCTCTGACCAGGGTGATTAAATAGCAGTCGTATTCATCAACGTTTGGCTCCACAAATCAAAAATGGGAATCCTTCCACAAAGAGAAAGTTAACTTTTATATCTCGGCCTGCAAAGTGTGAGAGGACGATGACTAACTGTGACAACCAAATGGTGGTGGGCGGTGGGGGATAATTCTTGGATAATGCAAGTCTTATATATACACAAGGACAATAACACATTCAACCACTTATTTCTTAAAAGAAGCGACAATATTATTACTGAAATGGAAATGCTACCTCTTACTGGTAAAATTAACACATTAAAACAGCATGCTGCTAAGAACGCATCTCACAGAGCTTTGAAATGTCTGCCTGTTTGTGTCAAATCCGTGATGGTGTGTGTGTGTGTGTGTGTGTGTGTGTGTGTTCAGTGTTACCCTGCTGGGAGGGGGAGGTGGGGACAGCTGGCTGGCTGAAGCTGTTCTCCTCAGTCTGGGAGAGCTCAGGAGGAGACTGGGGAGGGTCCTGCCCTGGAGTCAACTGCAGAGGGAGAGAGACAACATGACCATTGCTTTGGGCTACACTCTTAAAATCGTGTACTTGAATCATGGGTCAGGGAGTGGAAGCGGTTTCTCAGTTGAAGCGTGCATCAGTGTCCACAGAAAACTCAAAACGGTTTTAAAAATCACACTGTCTCAAAAGTAATGAAAAGAAGACCCTATTGTTGAAATAAACCCTTTCTAATGGAAACATCTTTATTTGAGAGAAAGACTTGTTACCTTCCTCCTGCGCTGTGCGGTGTTGGAGATCTTGTCAGGCGTGACTCCCAGGTCAGACAGGACCTTAGCGATCCCTCGGGCGTCCACACCGCAGTTAGGAGCTACATTGGTCTCACACCGCCTGTGCACATTCATCTTACACACTGCATAGCAACAGAAACACACGAGAACGGTTCAGGTTAAAGAACAGGTGACAAGAACTGGCTACCCTTTGCTAAGTCCCGCCCCCAGATGCAGACTGGCCAATCACAACGTAGCATCCAAATGGCTCAGACCAGGGTTCGACAACAACACGCGACCAAGTGTGAAAAACCCCAAAGGGCTGGTCCTTTTCAGCCCTCTAAGAGGACTCAGAGCGGTGACTCAGCATTTTTTGCCGAACAGTGAACACTCGGGAGGTGGTCTGAGTTTGGTTCGCTTCAAGTGTGCGGTGCGGTTCGCTTAACCTGTGCCTTGTGAACACAAAGCGCTCCAGGTTCGCTTTGCTCTTTGCCGTTGTAATCAGACCTCTAGATCACACACTGTTGACCTGAGACGCTTGGAAAAAACAGACGAAGCCACGTCGGCCTGCAACGCTTGCAAGGACGCAGGACGGGGAGTAGTTTGGTCCAAGAAAGATACTGCATGTCTCCAGATATGGAATGTGGAATACATCAAACGCCTTCAATTTTAAGTTAATCTCAAAGCGAGGGGCTTCACAACCACACGGCAGTGCCAGGTCAAAGTAAAAACAAAACTACGTTAATATATATTATATATAGTGCGAACAGAAAGAGGACCGAGAACCCATCAGAGCTGAAATTGACCAGAAAATGAACAGAAAAGAGTCTCAGTTCTTTCCCCCCGCAGGAACTTTAATTATTTACCCAGGATTTTGAAAAACCTCTGTGCGTTTCCACCGAAATTACCCGGGGAAAAAACTTTCCTTCAACCCCAACCTTTCCCTAAAAAAAGCACCTAGTAGGGGGGTAGGACTTTTCAGATCCCCCAGAATTCTTGAGGGGCGGAGCTGTTTGCTGAAGAACGCTGATTGGTGGAACACACACTTGCAGCGATCCGCACCTCCGTGCCAGTGTGGCTGCAAACTTTATTTCATTTCTACAAGCTTCACTTCGTTCATGTTTTGATCATTCGGAAAATGGAGCAAAAGAAGAGAAGCTACGAGAAGTGGACTGACTATGAGGTTCAGGCTCTTTTGAGAGTATTTGCCAAGGAAGAAATTCAGCAGGACTTCAAGTCGGCGACTCGAATTGATTTAAATACATTTTCCAGAACTTTGACGTGTGGTGGAAACGCAAACCACACCAGGAATTCTTTTACCCAGGTTAATAAATTCCTGGACATAAAAGTTCCTGGAAATGTCGGTGGAACAGGAGCTACTGTCGGTTCATTTGAAAGGGACTCAGTTCTCTTTCTGGTCAACTTCAGCTCTGAAGTGGCCTCAGTCCTCTCTCTGTTCACACTATAATCTGAATACGATATATATGCAGTGGGTTATAAAGCCCCTCGCTTTCAGATGAACTTAAAATTGGAGGAAAACCTTAGAATTGATGTATTCTACATTCCACATCTGGAGACGTGCAGTATCTTCCGTGGCCTAAACTACTCCTCGTCTTTCGTCCTTGCAAGCGTTACACGCTGACGTGGTTTTGTCTGTTTTTTCAGGTGCCCCAGGTCAACAGCATGTGATCTAGAGGGCTAAATACAATAGCAAAGAGGTACAAGGTACAGCTAAGCAAACCGCAGTCAGTCTGAGTTCTCTTGGAGATGCTGAGTCACCGCTCTGAGTCCGTTTAGAGGGCTGAAAAGGACCAAGTGTGAAAACACCCTTAGATAAAGCGGGATATACTGCATATACTGTCATTCTCAGTTGGATTTTATACGTAAAAAAACTCTGTGCAGTAACCTGAAGCACTTTTTAATTTAGAGTTGAGAAGGTCTTGTAACCTGGTGCAGCTTTTGAGAAAATGTAAGTTATTGAATAATGTTTTATAATGAATATATAATTGAATTTTCTGTGAAAGAAAAGTTACAAAAATGTCTGTGCATGCCGTCAGTTACAGTGCAAAAATCGGAATAGGTCAATATGAGATTCGGCAGGTCAGACTTTAAAAAAATCAGAATGGGCCAAGAAAACCTCAATCATTCATTAAAATAAATTAATTCCAGCAACAGCTTTTTCACGAGTGAAATCTTTAAAAAACTAAATAAATAAATAAATAAACATTACACTTTGGATCCATTCCCTGAAAGATATCAAAGTACAGGATTTATATTGTAGACTTTTTATAGACTCCTGATTATTTTTAGTATCAATTAATCCGTCCATTTTTTTCAATTAATTACCAGGGTGACACCTTCAATTTCATTGTTTCGGGCTAACAACACTTGAAACTCGAAACTATTAAATTATCAGAGAAAAGACACCGATCCAAACATTTGAAAACGGAATTAATTTTCCTAACGATTAACTGACTGATTGTTTCAGCTCTACAAACTATTTTATTTTAATAACAGAAAATGTTTATACACCTAGTGACAGATATTCTCCAGGTACAGGTGTCAGATATTGTGCACTATTTTATTAAAAAACAGCAGAATTATTTTTCAAATGTTAGAAAATCCTTTGAATTTAATTCCCAGATCTGCTGCAGAAAGTATTAGCTTGACCTAACGTTTCACAAAACTACTTTTAAATCTGTTAACCAATCTTTGATCCTGCTAAGTAAAAAACAACAAATCTTTCTCGGCAGAGATACAAGTCGTGTGTTGGCATTTATTATTGAACTGTAACGAAAATGTCATTTTTAATTTTCCTGTGACTTTAAGTACTTTTATAAAACTAACCAACATTTATTGAAACACTTGTCTTTTGTTGCTCACAGCCTTTGAATTCAAGTACATGCACTTTCAGGCTCCGAGGAGGCTGCAAAAACACAAGCACCCCTATATGTGTCCAGTGTGCGCTGCTGATGCTGTAAATTCCCCACTGCACGTGAACTCACCTTTGCACTGCAGGCCCTGCCTCATGAGGCCCCACAGCAGGGAGCCACAGTGGTCACAGAAGGTGGGGACCTTGTAGTTGTGGATACTGAACTTATGGGGCATGTTAACACTGAACCGCTGTGAGCCCACCTACAGAGGGAGACACACACACACACACACACACACACGGTGTTTCAAAGAGGTCACTGCTGCATTATCGGTGGAATAATGCACGTGGCTCAAGTGTTAGTACACAGTGTACATACGTTACCTTTGGTGAAACAGATTTATTTACAATAGGTCTGAATGGTGAGTGTCTGTATTCTGTTCTTCCTTCATGGTTTTTTTTATTTTTTTTTAACAGATAATAAACATTAAAAAGGACATATTCATCTGAGCTTAACATCCTCCATGTGTCCTGTCTACATGTGTACCTCCTCAGGTGTGTCCTCCTGCTTCTTCATCCCGGCACACTTGGTGATGATGAGCTCATGGCAGCGCTTGTGGACGACACACGTACACACTGGAAGCAGAGCATCAACATCAGGCCTTCACAAATGTTGTTAACTTCAGACAAGACAGGTTTACATGACGATCAGTTTGGCCAGCAGCATTTGTCTACTGATATGTGATGTTATCACTGTCGTACTGGGAAGAATGAAAGTTCTCCGGTGGTCCTGGTGCACCTAGTGATGCATCGACTTGATACACTGATTTAATATCCGTGCCAATGCTGACCTTATTAAAGGGGTTGGGGAACTGCAGAGTGAGACTGACCCACATTAAAAGTCGATATAAAAATGTGACAGCAGGATCTAAACTTTCTAAAAATCTACAAAAGCCTGTAAAGAGTGTTGTGTAGCTGCCGCAGCCTCTCCTACACACACTAGATACTGCAATTTGGGACTGTACCAAACAGTTCATGCTTCATTCATAAAGTTGACATTTGAATTCTAAATCAACTCCAGAGCGCTGTAAAGTCCTGAAGGCAAGATTTATCAAAAACGACAGGTGTCATCATTTTTTTAAATTCACAACATATTTTTATCTCAATAAATATTATGTGTCAATCCATGTGTGGTGCCGCTTAGCTTTTCAAAAACAACATTTTCACTGCGGTAAAAAGTTTGTTTGCACAAAGGAGGCACGCACCTGTACAAACAAAGCGCCATAACCTACATTTGCTTATTAAAGAACTTTAATATAATAATAAAAAAGACTAACTGATTCAAATTGAGGAATCTGTTCAAGGATTGATGTTTACAGGAGATAAACTGAGACAAAATATTAACATCAAACAATCTGGTAAAACCTGCATTACTGTAAATTCAAATATTTTAAAATAATTTTTTTCTACAATAACCTGCTGAGTGAGCTATGAAATGATTAGTATATAAGTGTGTAAGCCTATCATCCGTGGGACAGATGTAAAGCTCTGGGTAGCCCTGCACTAACATGATCAACGTTTCCATATTTATCAGACTGAATATTTACAGAAAGATATCTGTCGGCTGTGATTGGTTGTTCCTCGTCACATCACATGCACAATTGAGGCTGCAATAAACGCAGCGTGTGTATGGCCCCTCAATCTAGAGTTGCCCCGTGATAGTTGACCAAACATTAGTCGACCAGAAAGGTCATTAGTCGGCAAGATTTCATTGGTCGCTTCGTCTCAGGAAAAAAAAAAAGAAAGAAAGAAAAAAAAAAAAAAAACAATCCTGTCAAACTCTATTAGGAGGTGCGTCTTGTCAAAATAAATCAAAACCTGTATGACTGGACCATGTGGGAATTTAATTTGAAAGGACAGACACAGGAAGTGGCCACGCTCAGCAGTCAGACAGGAGTTAATTTCCAGGGCTGGTACCTGCGGTTATTCCACAGGCTAGTTAATAACATGTCGGGCAGGAAATCCAAAGTGTGGGATCATTTTGAGAAGGTGAAGGACGAACCCAAGGTGATATGTAAACTCATCTTCATTGGTCGACTACAAACATGACGTATCATCTGAAACATGGAAGTAGCTACATGCCCATTAGCCCACAGCGTCATTAACAGGCGGCTCGCTCAGTGTGTGATGTGCACTTGTAGATAAAATATAGGCCTATATTAATGAAGGTTCATTCGTACGGTTTTGTATTTCTCTGTAATGTAGCACAGTGTTAACAATGTTACTGATACTATTCTTTCTCACACCTTCAACTCAAACCATTGTGTTGCCCCGCTCAAAATATATCATTTAATGATTAAATTAATATCGTAAACATGCGGGCGACTAGTCGACTAATGGCCCCAAAAGACGACTATTGGTGGACTAGGGAGATTCTTAGTTGGGGGGCGGGGGCAGCCTTAGTTTAATTAATAACCCATGTTTGTATAGTTTAGATAACTCTGTGTGGGCTCTAGGCTGCTTGCATACGTAACATACCTGAGGTGGATCGGGCAACGAGAGATGAACTACGTACCAGGCAGCTGAAAACTGTGCATTTCTACACCTGTATGTGACGCACTTTCACTAGCTTTTATCAAAAGACTGCTTGTGTTTCCGCCCTTATGTGCAAAATACTTGGTGCACTCGCGGCAACAAGCATCATCAGCATTGATTCTAGTGAAATGTAACCAGACTTTTGAGTGTAAAGTTCTATCAGCCGCTGTCACTACTACTGTCTTGAATATTTTAGCTCTGGCCCCTGTTTAATACTGGATTCCTGTGTCCATCCCTACAAATGAGTTTAGTAAACACTTTGACCTCCGCTGAATTTTTAGGACGTTTGTGTTCACTGAAGAAAAACTTGCATTTTACTACTATAAAGTATCACAGTGGATGTGGTTGGTGTGATGTAGGTCATCTGTGGCTCTGGGTGAAGGTGGCTTGAGGCCAAATCACAGCCGTCATTCAGTAACACGTTATCTCTCTTGTGTTCTCGAGCTTGAATAATAAATGATGTGCAGCGTTACTTGAGAAATTGGAATCTGCCAGAGAAAGGTACTCACCCTGACACTGGTATCCCTGCTTCCCCAGCACGCCCCTATCAGATCACACACACACACACACAGGAGTCAGCATTTCGGCCAGGTTGCTTTAATGAAACACAACAGCAGCTCAGACCGATATCTGTTTGTGTGTTTGTGTTTCCTACCAGATAAAATCTCTGCAATGTGAGCAGTAGGTTGGTTGTCTCAGGTAGGTGGCCATGAACTTGTGTCCATTGACTTGATGGACGCGTCTTCGGACGGCGCCCTGTCGCCGGCGAGGACCGATCCTCTCTCGAAACACCCGCTCCTCGTTCTCATTGGTCCCCGTGGCTGTCGAGTGAACAGAAGACAAGTTTATGAACAAAGAAATCCATCTGCAAAGAGACATTTCTGAGCTTTTTGAGCCCCTGGGTGAGTTTTAGATTAGGGATGTGTGTTACTGGTCAACTAGTTGATTAAACTTTGCTTCCCTCGCTAGTTGGCAGTAGAAATCCTAATCAGTTAAATCTATTTTTTTTAAAACAATAATTGAAGAAAATGCTGTTGAAATAATCAGGCACCTTTCCTAAAGGTTGTTTTTCCTAAAAAAATACTGTCATAACAGGGTTTTTCCTGTATGGAGAATTATGAGGCGGCTGTCTCCATCAAATTTCGTCCCACCTCGACAAAGCTCTGACAGGAGTAATCATGGAAAACACTATTTTCCAACAAGCGTTGCACTTAGTGGAATTCTGTCATTTGAAACAGCGATTGCGGCACAATGTTGATGTTGTAACGCTGCTGTCATCATCACAGTGCATCAGGAACAGCGCTGCCAAAGCTGCCAAAGAAGAAGAAAATAGCGCTCTGGTTTGGAGTGCAGCAAAGTATGAGCAACAGGGTTTCCACTGGTAATGACTTTGCCACCACAACAAAAAAGATCCCTAAAGAAAAGAAAACTCCTTCTCACTGCCGTTCCGACGAAAGTTTTATGTCGCCATTTGGAGATTATAAATGCCGCTGCAAACGGCATTCAGACTCAGCATTTGTGAACGCTGCTCCAAGCATGTTGTGTGTCTGAACACCGTCTTATACAAAAAATACAACGCTGACACCTGTGAAATGTAAGGAAATAAAGTAGTCTTTTTTTAAATCACCTTTTTACTGACTAAACAAGATATTAGTTCATGACAATACATGAGAACATAACCGTCACATTCAATTTAAAATAGGAAAGTTAAATAAGCAAAGTAAACGATGTAAAAAATGAAAGGCTTTTTTATGAAAGTGTCTTGGAAATTACTTAAAATACAATTATTCTTAAAATCTGCTTTAATGCTTTAAAAACAGGAGGGGATCTACTTTTGTGTTAATAATATTCAAATATTATTTTGTTTACATATGGCACAAAAACGACAGAAAACTGCAGGAATTCACATTACAGACGCAGCTGATTATCCATGTAACAATTTAGCACCAGTTTACAGAGAGTTGTTATTTTTTCAATCATATAATTGATGGAAATCCTAAAATACATTGCTTGTCCTTTATCTTCAGTAACCACTTATCCTGTTGGGGATCGCGGGGGGGCTGGAGCCTATCCCAGCTGACATTGGGTGAGAGGTGGGGTACACCCTAGACAGGTTGCCCGACTATCACAGGGCTGACACATAGAGACAGACAACCATTCACACTCACATTCACACCTACAGACAATTTAGAGTCACCAATTAACCTGCATGTCTTTGGACTGTGGGAGGAAGCTGGAGTACCCAGAGAAAACCCACGCTGACATGGGGAGAACATGCAAACTCCACACAGAAGGGCTTCCTTCGCGGATTAAGCCAGGAACCCTCTTGCTGTGAGGCGACAGTGCTAACCACTGCACCACCGTGCCGCCCTAAAATATGATATAGTTGTTGAAAATTGTGATTAATGATTTCAAACAGCTCTTATAACAGACGCAACATTTTTTCTCAGGCAATGTAAAACCTTTCTGGTTGACTGTGCTCAATTTTGACTGTTTTCTTACTTTTATACGAGTTGACCAGTCCGAGTCTAATCTTCCGTTTAAATGTCATGGAAATTAGTTGTCAGGAACATCCCTATTTTAGACTCACACACATAACAGTGATATTTTCTCAACGCCCATTGATTTTACTTCCTGAGACGCTTTGTACAAATAAGGATGATTTGCATCACATTGCTTGAGATGTTTAATCATTCAACGGCCTCTCATCTTCCTCCCTCCCCTCCCTCTTCCTCACAAACACCCCACACCTACCAGAGGCCTATGCATACGTACGTGTGCTTACTATTTATACTTTCATGTGTGGGCACTAAAACGAAGGACAGCATATTAAAATACTCCTCCTCAGCGAGCACCATCCAACCAGCCGTTCCCTTCCTCTCTGCATCTCCCCGGAAAGATAAATGCTTTCCGAGGGTAACCTTAAGACAAGAGAACCACCTCCACTCTCACTCCCACACACACTCCTTCTCTCCGAGCTCCTGTCCTAGTTTGCCTTTCTTTAACGCTCCCTCCATCTCTCTCTCCTGGGTGCGTTATAGATGTGGTTACTGCTGAGTTCGATTACAGACAGGCTGTCTAGGGACTCTGAGAGTGTGTGTGAGTGTGAGTAGGAGTGTGTGAGTGGAAGTGTGTGTTTTTCTGTGTGCGATGGTGGTGTTGGTGAGAGAGGGGAGACGGCTTAACAGGCCATTACTGGGATCACTTTGTTTTACATAATACATCATCCATCTGTCCTGAACGCACATGTACACACACACAGGCATGCTGACAAGGAGGGGCGATGAGGCATAACAACAGTTAAGAGTGATCGTCGTGGAGACAGACGTACTCTGGTTCAGCTGAGTGACCGACTGGGAGACGGCCGTCCAATAAACACACACATACGGCCAGACAGAAGATGGTAATTGGACACAAACATGTAGAAGACCAGCAGACAGTGGAGACAGAGGAGATGAAGAGCTGAACTACAGATGGTGACATAAACAAATATGACATAAAGATGAATGACAATACAACCGTGGCAGTAATCCATCTGCTTGTCAAATAACAATGTGTAAAAAAATCTACTGAGCCTGAAAAAAGACCTGTGATCCTCATTTTTGCATTTTGGCTTTCTAGTAGAAGATGTTTACATTTTTTGATGGTCAAAAACACCACATTTTTTTCATACTGTCTGAGCCTGGTCTGCTATGACTGGTCAGCGTTTCTGGGTCTTCCGTATCTAGTGGCACATTTTATTGTTAAAAAAAAAAAAAAAATCACCAATAAAAGCTAAATCTTTACAATCTATCATGTTCCAGTGTTAATATGATCCAAAATCTGCGAGAAATTAACATCGTACACACCCACAGGCATGCTGACAAGGAGGGGCGATTAGGAATGACTGTAACAGAGAATAGCAGCACTTTCTACTATGAAAATAAATCACCAATAAAAGCCTCTCAACCAAAATGTTCATAACTACACGTGTTCTAGCAGGAATCTGATCCGAAATCAGGGAGAAATTAACAACAATGGCAACCAAGATTAAATGTTCCCTGACGTTAGCTAGTAGCTTGCGTGTTCCTTCACCTGGAGAATGACTGTAACACATTATAGCGGCACTTTATACTGTGACAAAAACCACCAATAAAAGTCTCTTAACAAAAATCTTTTCAACCATAAATGTTCCAGTAAGAATCTGATCTGAAATCAGGGAGAAATTAACAACACTGGCAACCAAGATTAAATGTTCCCTGACGTTAGCATGTAGCTGTAGTGTTCTTGCAGGTTAGGAATGACTGTAACAGAGAATAGCACCACTTTCTACTATGAAAATAAATTACCAATAAAAGCCTCTTAACAAAAATCTTTTCAACCATAAATGTTCCAATAAGAATCTGATCTGAAATCAGGGAGAAATTAACAACAACGGCAACCAAAATTAAATGTTACCTGATGTTAGCATGTAGCTACTTGTAACAGTGTACTTACAGCTGTGGAACGACAGTAATGGATGATAGCTGCACGCTTTACCGTAAAAAATCACCAATAAAAGCTTCTAAACCATAATCTTCATAACTACATATGTTCTAGCAGGAATCTGATCTGAAATCAGGGAGAAATTAACAAAAATGGCAACCAAGATTAAATGTTCCCTGACGTTAGCTAGTAGCTTGCGTGTTCCTTCACCTGGGGAATGACTGTAACAGAGAATAGCGGCACTTTATACTGTGACAAAAATCACCAATAAGTCTCTTAACAAAAATCTTTTCAACCATAAATGTTCCAATAAGAATCTGATCTGAAATCAGGGAGAAATTAACAACAACGGCAACCAAGATTAAATGTTCCCTGATGTTAGCATGTAGCTGTAGTGTTCTTGCAGCTTGGGAACGATGGCAATGGCGGATAGATGCACATTCCACCATAAAAAAAATCACCAATAAAAGCTTCTCAACCAAAATCTTCACACCTAGACATTCAACAGGAATCTGATCTGAAATCAGGGAGAAATTAACACTAATGGCAACCAAGATTAAATGTTCCCTGACGTTAGCATGTAGTTACGTGTAGCAGTAAGGGATGTTATGATACCAGGGGTCTCATTTATAAAAACTGTGTAGGCACAAAACGAGACCTGAAAGAGGTGTACGCCACTTCCCATGCAAAAGTTGTGATCTATGAAAACAGACTTGATGGGAGAAACTTTGACCCATGCTAAGGAACATTTTGGAGATGGGAAATTGGCGACGCAGACGTGAGGTGGAAACCTGGTTGTAGCAACTGTCGAATATTTTTGGACGCACGCCATATTTGGCTTTATGTACATTTTAAGTATGGAATCTACGCATTGTTTTATAAATGAGACCCCAAAAGTTTAGTAGTTGATACCAATGCCAATGAAATTCCATGATTCGCAATGCCACAATCTGATACCACAGAAAAAAAAGCCAAAAACAAAACAATAAATGCCACCTACTTAAACGCACATATTTTTATCAAAAACATTCAATTTGAAATCAATTTGCATTTTATTATTAATCCCAGATGATCCATCTTGAATGCAAAGTACTCATCTATGTAGGCTAATTAGATTTTGTTGGCGAGTAAACATATATGAACACACAGCCTACAGTCACATATTTCCTCTCCACTGTTTTGTTCACAGGGGTTACTTTTACACACGTTTACTTCATTACTTGAAACTTCAGCCACATTTATTATCTGAATATCTGACGTTGCAACATTATGACGGAAAATAAGGAAAAGCACAATAAGTCTCTTTTAAATAAATGAATGAATAAAACAATAAAACGCTGAATTTTCTGAAGACAAA